TCATCTCTTGTTTGACCACATCCAGCTTGCCTTGATTCATGGATCTTACATTCCAGGTTCCTATGGAGCATAGATCTTTGCAGCATCGGATTTTCCTTTCACCACCAGATACATCTGCATCTGAGTGTCCTTTTGGCTTTGACCCAGTCGCTTCATTCTTTCTGGCGCTACTAGTACTAGCCCTCTGCTCTTCCCCAGTAGCATATTGGACACCTTCTGACCTGAGGGGCTCATCTTCCAGCATCATATCTTTTTGCCTTTTGGTACTGTCCATGGGGTTTTCATGGCAAAGATATTGGAGTGGGTTGCCATTTCCTTTTCCAGTGGATCACGTTTTGTCAGAGCTCTCTGCTATGACCTGTCCATCTTGGATGGCTCTGCACAGCATAGCTCATAGCTTCATTGAGCTACGCAAGCCCCTTCGCCACGAGAAGGCAGTGATCCATGAAGTACTCCCCTTTTAAAATATTTTAATAACAGTAAAATTTAGGGGGGAAAGAAAGAAAAAAGTACAAATAAAAATTACAAAGAAACACCAAGCGCTTTTAGACAAATATTACATAGAATGTCAAGTTTTTGAAAAAATCACTGACTATCCTTTCTACTCAAATTTTCTGTAGTTAATTAACATTCAACTTGGATTCTTCTAATCTCAATTTTCTGAAAAATTCTGTCTCCCCCTTTACCTGTATTTTTTCATTGTTATTATCCCCATTAAAAAGAAGTTGTGTTTAATACAATTTCTACTTTTCATTTTCTTTGGCACATTATCTTTCTACATAATTAGTTAGTCTTACCATTACTACATAGTCAACTGACTTATTTTTCCAGTATTCAATAATTAAATTTCTTCTGCTTTCCATTTTAAAACAGTGTTAATTCTAATCACAGTTATCATGTACTTAAGTAGCTTTTTAAATCATAAGTCAACTTATTATAACAAAAAAGCCCAGAAGTACCCCTTGAGAGTTCATTTTACGGATAAATTCAAGTTGCTATATCTTACTATGGTTAGTCCACTGGGACTCATAAGCTATTTATGTATTACTACAATTATTAATCACATGATGTATTTCTCTGCCTTGTTTCTTGGTAC